ACCAATGTCATGGGAACAAAGGTTATGGAAACTGCAATGAAGATGGATTTCGAATCCTGGACTTTGCAGAAGCAAATGATCTCATTATCTGCAACACATTTTTCAAGAAACGTCCAGACCATCTCATTATTTTTCCAATGGTGGAAATAGCAGTCAGATCGATTTTATTCTCTTGAGAAGGCGTGGCCTTCACATGGTATGCAACACCAAGGTTATCCCTTGGTGTTCTTGCCCCACAACACAAATTAATTGTTACAGAACTGAAAATAAAAATAAATAAACAAAACAAAACAAAACAAAACAATAATAAAATAAAATAAAATAAAATAAAATAAATAAAAGGCCATAAGAGAATGAACAACAGCACCACAGGCCATGAGAGAATCAAATGGTGGAAGTTGCAGGATAAGTGGTGGGTTTCAAATAATTTCACCACTGGTTCACCAAAAATGTTAGCGTGTGCACGGCTTCCATACATGCATGCCCGTATGGCGAGACTTGACAGAGCAGCCTTTCAGAACCTGCTCCCCTCCATCTCTGCTCTCTGGGGCAACCGCTGCTTCTCTCCACACTGCTGGGAGACCATCTTGGACAATTTAGCAGCTGTAAGCTGCTGCTTTCCTCTAAATCCCATCTGGACAGCGCTGCGGCACAAAGAAGCAGCAGCCATGTTGAATGCTGTTTCTCTCAGCTGCAGCGCTTTCCGGATGGGACTTAGAGGAAAGCAGCAGCTCACAGCTGCACAAGACGCTCTCCCAGCAAGAGCAGCAGCAGAGAGGAGCAGCTGCTGACCCGGAGAGCACATGGAGCATCTCAACGAAACCAAGGCTCGGCAAGGGAAAGAAAAAGCGGCTGCAAGATCTCTGCTGCAGCGCTTTCCGGATGGGACTTCTTGCAGGTAAGAAGAACAGTCCGATACATTCCCAAACTGCTTCAGGCCTCCTGTGCCCATGCTACCCCGTACGGCCTTTTGGCCTAGTGTGGCAGGCCATAGGCTGAATGAATTGCTTTGGCCCGGGGGGGAGGCGTAGTTTGTGGCCAGAGGGGGGCGGCGGCATGCGGGTGGAAGCCTAGGGCAAGGCTGTAGCGGAAGAATGGCGCGTTCCCTGACCCACTCAAGGCAAACAGCTAGCAGGCGGAGGCTCCGGGGCAAGGCTGGAACCAGGGAATGGCACGTCCCTGCGCCCCAACCCGAGGTGAAAGGTGACATGCTTATCTTTGGTGAGCAGAGTGGATGAGGTGCGGAGCCGAGGCACAGAGATTAGCTGCCATGTGGCGAAGGCAAAATATATAGGGGGGAGGGGCGGGGGGGCAGGGCCAGTCAGTGGTGCGATTTGCCTGTTCTCCGAACAACTCAAAATTTCTGCTACCGGTTCACCCAAACCAGTCCCAACTGGCTGAATACCACCTCTGGGCAGGACCACAAAGAAACAATTACAAAAAAAGCATATTCTCACAAAATCAGACCCTGCACTAGTGGGAATACTCTAGGAAGAAGATGATGATTATCATGTAATACGGGTTGTAACTGAAATTTTATATGCGCCAGTTAGGTTATGCATAGCTAGTTGCTGCTGTATCTTCTTTCAGTTCTTCCCAAATTAACAAGTCCCTCCTGTATCATTCCCACCTCCTTGCTGATTCATTGGAGGCTTCTAGAAAGAAAATCAGGAAGTCTCTGCTCTAATCTACACAGGGGGGAATGTTGGTTCTAACTGAAAGTACTATAATTCAGTTGCTGGAATTGTTATAACTTCATCCCATTTATCACAATAAATCTTGCTTAGGAAAACAATCACTTTCAGTTTAGGTAGATGCTAAAGGAGTTGACAACATGCTGGAACTCGAGCATCTCCTCTGCTTGTATCTTCTGCACTATCTATCACTCACTTTGGCTAGGATGCTAAGCTTCTCTTTAATATTCTGCCTACACCTATTCCTAGGCTTCTAGGGAAGAAGCATTAGGTGCTCTTTCCTCTGTTCTACCATTAAGGCTGTTTCTATAAGTACGCATGAGTGAGGTCAAAGGGTTAATGTTCCACCTTTAAATGACAAGACCCTACAAAGTAATTCTGAAGAAGCAGTTCGAGCAGGCCAAAGCTAGTTGGGGAGATGGTGCCGAGTTAGGTGAATCATTGCTCTAGCTCAAGATAAAGTAGCAGCATTGCTTATGAAATCATCGTTCCTGCTACTTCGGGTGTTAAAAGGCTCTCTGAAGATCAATCTGAACAGCTTTTCAAGATGCATGGATTCGAAATGTTCCCAGTGGGGGGAAAATATCAATATAGCACACAACACCCTCAATGGCATTTGCAATAGTTGATCTTGCTAGCCTAGCTGTGAAGCTGATGGTTTGAGGGAGAAGGGGATAAGTGAGTATGAGTGTCTGGTGGAGAGAGGATATAACAGGAATCCTTTTCTGTTATGAAAAATACAGCAAGGTGAATGAAAGCTAGACATTTCTCATGCATTCGTTAAAAATATCAAAAAGAAATTCATGTAATTCTTGGTGTAATTTTTAATTCATCTTTTAATTAACTTCTGAAGAACAGATACAGGAAGGAAGAAAATTATTGCAGCTGTTGATATATATATATTTTAAAGTATATTCTCTTTATTATAATATTAACAGATTAAATAAAATGCTGAGAATCAATAGAAAAGCATATCTGAGTATTTTGCTTTCCTCCAGTTAATACCAAAGAAGCGTGCTTGATGGAGAGAATCCATTAGCACTTATGAAGTGCTCAGGCACTGTTAATGATCAGTAATAGCCTGGTATACAGTACAGAACCGAAGAGATGGTGATACAGGATACAAGAAACTATTTCAACATCCAATCCTTATTTTTCTGTATATCTTCTTCTTTAAAAAGAAGTGGAAATATTTCAGTCCAAAATATGGGTGCCATTTTGTCTTTAAATAAAATCAGAAAAAGTATTGTTTCGATATTCAATATTTCGATATTTCTGACAAGTCAATAGATTCACTTAACAATGTGACTAACTTAATAACTGCAATGAATCACTTTTCAACTGTGGCAAGAAAGATAGTAAAATGGAGCAAAACTCATTCAACAACAGCCTTGCTTAGCAATGAAAATATTGGGTTCAACTATAATCATAAATTGAGGACTATTTGTATAGTCATCTATGTACTTAAATGACATCATTTATATGTGCATGCTGAGCCACAATATGCTTCAATCCTAAGGGATACTTTCTGTTAGCCTTTCCAAATCTTCCATAAAACAGATATATTCAATACTTTTATTTTACAGATGGATTTGTTGATCAGTCGTTAAGTCATTTACAATTCTCCATGACCTCATGGACCATAAGCAAGCCAGGCCCCCCTGTCCTCCACTGTTTTCCATAGTTTGCCCACATTCATGTTCATTGCGTCGATGACACTATCTAACCATCTCATCTTCTGCCATCGTCTTCTTCTTTTGCCTTCAATCTTTCTCAACAGTAGGGTCTTTTCTAATGAATCCTCTCTTCTCATTTGGTGATAAAAAGTATTCAAGCTTCAGCTTCAGTATCTGTCCTTCTGAACAACAGTCAGAGTTTATTTCCTTTAGGATTGATTGATGTGTTCTCCTTGCAATCCAAGAAACTCTCAAGAATCTTTTCCAATGCCACAATTTGAAAGCATTTAATTCTTTGGCACTCAAGCGTTACTTATAGTCCAACTCTCACAACATTAATATTGGGATTACAGATGGGTAGCTAATGTTAAAACACAGTAATGTATCCAAAAATAGGTTGATCAAAGATGAATCCACAAAATTTCAAGCTCAATATATAAGCCCACACTATCAATGCATTATCAGAACAAGATGATAAGAATCAGTATATAACCCCTCTTTCTATACTATGAACATATTAACACTATGAAGTTTTATATTATAGTAACTATATTTAGATTTGCCAACTGGCATCACATTTCAATGATATCTTCAGCAACCACTTTAAACATTTGACATTTTAAAGAAACCACAACTCATGCAGAAGTTTGAAAAACGGCTTTGGAAAATAGCAGAATGAGATTGATCTTGCATGTGTTCCAGATGCTTCCTTCAAGTCATTTTTGAACTACCCACAGCCCTAGAATACCCTAAAGGACTTTGCATATTTATTGGGAATACCCGAAATATGTCACCTACCATCTCACCATTTTTAATATCCCAGCCTCCTATTCAGCGGATATCCATGATAGTGAAAGAAATGAACAGATTAAATTTAATGAAATAAAACTATACAATTTAAGCATAACAAAAATACTGTGCATATATAGTAAAACAATTAAAAAAGGAATGTATTGTTTAATATATTTATAAAATTGTTTTATACATGTATAGAACAGCTGCATTGTCTAAAATTAAAAGCAACTGAAAGCTATCAGACCAGTGCTTCTCTTTTCTATGCATAGGTAGTAAATATTTGTGGAAAAAATGTTATTTTTATACTTTAACATGAAAATAATGATTTTTTTGGTCCTTTGTCTGTAGTGGTTTTAGAAAAACCTACCAGCTTCAAAGAAGTAGAATATTTTTCTCTAAGGCAATAATGCAATTGAGAGTTTGAAAAGGTATAAATGCTTCTTACATAAAGATAAAACTGTTAAATAATGCCTATGATTCATATACTATATATTCATCACCTATGGAAGGACTTCCATATTGCTTTGCCAAATGCATTTGAAGTAGAGGAAAATCAATTAATGGATAATGGTTCAATGTGGACTACAAGCATTTTTTAAAATAATTAACACAAAACAATGTTAACAGTAATACTCTCTGCAGGCATTTGAATTTCTGCTGTCACCCACTCATTTTGGCATAATTTTATCCATGAAATATTTGTGTCATTTGAGTTAGTAATATCTTCCCATATTCCCACTACAGGCTTAACTTCAGTTTGTCATCCGGTAGCATTCACAGTTCATCTGTTTGTCAATTTTTACACATTTCTTTTGCAAAGAATGAATATGCTTACCTCTGAAAAGAAAGAACGCTTGGAAGTCTATCTACACATTATGCAGAATCAGATGGTAGATTGTGATGATAAAATTCTGGATTCTATCTGATGAAAAACAGATGAGCATAGGAAGAGCTATGTTGGATCACATCAAAAGGCTCATTTGCCCAGAAGTCTGTTTCTATAGCAGCCAAACCAGAAGTTGAAAGGAAGGCAGCAAGTCAAAGGCAAGAACATTTTCTTACTAGAATAGAATAGAATAGAATTCTTTATTGGCCAAGTGTCTTTGTCTTTGTACATACGCTCTCGGTGTATATAAAAGAAAAGATACATTCATCAAGAATCATAAGGTACAACACTTAATGATAGTCATAGGGAAACAGTCAATATAAAGGATGTCAGCAACAAGGTTACAGTCATACAGTCATAAGTGGGAGGAGATGAGTGATAGGAACGATGAGAAGATTAATAGTAATGCAGACTTAGTAAATAGTTTGGCAGTGTTGAGGGAAATATTTGTTTAGCAGAGTGATGGCGTTCGGGAAAAAAATTGTTCTTGTGTCTAGTTGTTCTGGTGTGCAGTGCTCTATAGCGTCATTTTGAAGGTAGGAGTTGAAACAGTGTATGTCCAGGATGTGAGGGATCTGTAAATATTTTCACAGCCCCCGTTTTTGACTCATGTATTATACAGGTCCTCAATGGAAGGAAGGTTGGTAGTAATTGTTTTTTCTGCAGTTCTAATTATCCTCTGAAGTCTGTGTCTGTCTTGTTGGGTTGCAGAATCAAACCAGACAGTTATAGAGGTGCAGATGACAGACTCAATAATTCCTCTGTAGAACTGTATCAGCAGCCCCTTGGGCAGTTTGAGCTTTCTGAGTTGGCGGAGAAAGAACTTTCTTTGTTGTGCCTTTTTGATGACGTTTTTGATGTTAGGTATCCATTTTAGGTCGTGAGATATGGTAGAACCTAGAAATTTGAAGGTCTCTACTATTGATACTGTGTTGTCTAGTATTGTAAGAAGTGGTAGCATGGGAGGTTTTCTCCTAAAGTCCACCACGATTTCTACGGTTTGGAGTGTGTTCAGTTTCAAATTGTTCTGGTTGCACCACAAGGCTAGTTGTTCAACCTCTGTATGTGATTGTATGAATCTCTATCTCTGTATGAATCTGTATGTGGATTCATCATTGTCTCAAATGAGACCGATCACTACTAATGGACTCCATTAATGGTGTGTAACAAAGGATTTAAATAATTTTATTAAATATTATAGTTAAAGATAAAAATAATATAAACTACAAAAAACAAAAGAATAAAAAATAGAAAGTGCAATATGTATGTATGTATGTATGTGTGTATGTGTGTATGTATGTATGTATTTCCCTTTAGCCAGGTTCTTCCTACGTAAACCAAGATTTTTATGCAGCCCTAGTTCAGTGAAACTAGGTTCAGCTGCATAAAAATCTTGGCTTACGTAGGAAGAACCTGGCTAAAGAGAAATAGACATAAAGCCTACAAAAAGGAAAGATATATATATATGTAGTCTTTGGTTATTCGGGTTTTCTCCCGTGTAAAATTGGAGGTTTCTTGGCAACGTTTCGACGAAGTCTCATTTGTCATCTTCAGGCTGGTGTTCTCGGCTTCGTGCTTCTAGCAGCAATGTGTGTGATCGCAGCTGTTTCTTCCTTTTAACTGCCAGTGGGGGTGTAAACTGATTGGGTGGGAGCTTGGCTGTGTTCTGATTGGGCGGAGGTGTGTTCTGATTGGTTGGGGGTTTGGCTGTGCTCTGATTGGGTGAGGGGTTGGCTGTGCTCTGATTGGCTGGGTGTGTGTTCTGTTTAGGTGTAGGCTTGGTTGTGCTCGGGTTAGTCTGAGTAGCAGGGGGATTTGAGCTGGTGAGCTGTGTTGCTGTTGTTTGGCTTCATGTTCGTCGAAACGTTGCCAAGAAATCTCCAATTTTACACGGGAGAAAATCCGAATAACCAAAGACCTACATACAAACACCCGCGAAAACCTCAGAAAACATATATATATATATATAAATAGAAAAGAAAAAAATGAGAATATAGCAGAAGAAAGTAAAAATATACAGTGATATAAATTTCTCCTTATTTGCAACATATAAACACAATTTTAACAATTTATCACAATCTTTTCATCCATATCACTTCTCTTATCTATAAATAGATCCTTAAAACCCTGTTGAGCAAAAGTTCATTAAGAGTTACCAGAAATAACATGTCTATTTGAACTTTGATTAAATAAATCCATTTTATATTCCTACCTATATTCATCTGTTCATTCATCATTCATTAGACTTGTATGCCACCCATTTAACATGTCTTCTTTATTAGAGAAATTCTTTTTACTTTTAACAATTGTAATATTTAATTTCTTCAAATAATATCCTAAAGTTTGTCTGTTTTTTATTTTTTTGTTCCTTCTTACAAAACCCTTAAGGACTTTAATAGATCCCTTTAATAAATTCAATATAAGAAAGTTATTGCTTGTTCTGTTTGCTACTTGTATATCACTTTATGCATCATTTAGAAGCTTATGCAAAGTCTTCAAGAATTCATGATAGTAAACCTAACTAACTTTATATTCTGAAATATTGATTCATAGGTTGTATTTCCCCCTTTTTTGTTCCTTCCCCCCAATAGCTATGTGAATTCCTTTACTGCCCTCCCCACCCCTCCAACATTCCTCTTTTCTCTGTGCTTCTCTAAAGTTCATCTGTAACAAATACATAAGACAACAAGCAATGCCCCAAATTTTTAGGGGGTGAAACATTTTTTTCTATTTTACATTTTCTTCATTCACAATATTTCATGACTAAAAATGTCCTCTATCCTTGTCCTGAAGCTATTCACTGATAAACAGCATTTGCTACTAAAAGTATACTTTGTTTTTAAAATAAAAATAAGAAAACAAGATATGGAATCATAGATGCAGATTACTGCCCTGCAGCCTGGCAAAATGATTTTTTATCTATGGAAAGAGAGTACAGAGGTGATGAAAATCAGTTTTAATGAGGCCAAGTACATGTTATCTCAGAATCATTGCACCATATTTTTCAAAAACTCTGGAACACCATGGAACTTTTCCAGAGGATTGGAAAAGAACTGATGTAGTTCCTATCTTAAAAAAAAAAAAGTGGGGGGAAGGAAACAAATCCAGGAAACTACAGATCAATCAGCCTAACATCAATATCTGGGAAGATACTGGAAAAAATATCAAAATACAGATCTGAGAACATATAAAAACAAACAGTTATAACTAGAAGCCACCATGGGTTTGTTAAAAACAGATCATGCCAAACCAATCTTATTTCATGCTTTGACAAAGTGACTACATTAGTAGACCAGTGAAATGCTGTGGACATAGCATAGATAGACTTCAGCAAGACATTTAACAAAGTATACCACAACCTACATGTTGGAAAACTAGAAAAATGTGGGATAGACAACATCAGCACCAGATGGATTTGTAATTAGCTGACAAGCCATACTCAATGAATAGTCCTTAATGGTACTACATCTACATCACGGGTGTCAATTTCACATCGTCACGGCAGCATCACATGACGTATCTGGACTTTTTTTCCCTTCACTAAAATGGGCATGGGCATGGCCAGAGTGTGACACATCTGGCCCATGAGCCAGGAGTTTGACAGCCCTGATCTACATGGAGAGAAATAAGCCATGGAGTACCACAAGATCCCATCTTAGGCCCAATGCTCTTCAATATCTTCGTAAATGACTTAGATGAGGGAATAGAAAGAGAACTCATCAAATTTGCAGATGACACTAAGCTGGCAGGAACAGCCAACACCCCAGAAGACAAGCTCCAGATGCAAAAAGATCTTGACAGATTTGAACAATGGGCCCTATCAACATGAAATTTAATGCGGAGAAAAGCAAGGTTGTACTTCTAGGTAGGAAAAACCAAAGGTATAAGTACAGAGTAGGTGAAACCAGGTTCAAAAATAGTAATTGTGAGAGGGATCTTACAGTCCTAGTTGACAATCTCTTAAACATGAGCCAGCAATATGCAGCAATAGCCAAAAAAGCTAATACAATCCTTGGTTGTATAAGCAGAGGCATAGAAATAAAATCACATTAAGTATTATTAAAGGTAAAGGTAAAGGTTCCCCCGCACAGGCATGCTAGTTGTTTCCAGCTCTAGGGGTGGTGCTCATCTCTGTTTCAAAGCTGAAGAGTCAGCGCTGTCCGAAGACGTTTCCGTGGTCATGTGGCCGGCATGACTCAATGCCGAAGACGCATAGAGCACTATTACCTTCCCACCAAAGTGGTCCCTATTTTTCTACTTGCATTTTTATGTGTTTCGAACTGCTAGGTTGGCAGAAGCTGGGACAAGTACCAGGAGCTCATCTGTTACTCAGCACTAGGTATTCGAACTGCTGAACTGCCGACCTTCTGATCGACAAGCTCAGGTCTTAGCCACTGAGCCACCATGTCCTCTTGAAGTATTATTACTTTATAAATCCTTAGTAAGATGACACCTGGACTACTGCATCCAGTTTTGGTTACCATATTACAAGAAAAAATGTTGAGGCTTTGGAAAAAGTGCAAAAAAGACCAACTAAGATGGTTAAGGGCCTGGGGACAAAAAGAAGAGGGGGTCAATTTATTTTGCAAAGTATAGAAGGCAAGACAAGAAACAATGGATGGAAACTAATTAAGGAGAGAAGCAACCTAGAATTAAGAAGAAACTTCATAACAGTGAGGATAATTAACCCAGTGGAACAGCTTGCCTTCAGATGTTGTAGGTGCTTCATCATTGAAGGTTTTTAACAAAACTGGACAGCCAACTGTCTGAAAAGGTATAGGGTTTCCTGCTTGAGCAGTGGGTTGGACTAGAAGATCTCCAAGGTCCCTTCCAGCTTTATTCTGATTGACTGATGTGTTACAGACCATGCACTCAACCAACTTGTGTGTCTCCCCCTCCCCCTTACCTACCTAGTTTATTTGGCTTTGACAATCCAGTAATCTCTGGAACCTGAACTTCAGCTTCAAAGTCTTTTCCAGATTGCACACTGGGCCTGTTGTGATCAGCTAAATAATACACAGCTTTACTTTACTTCAAATGTATTTGAAATCATGATCTGGAGTGTAAAAGGTTGCAGAAATACTTGTTCAGTTTTTGAACATCTATGTTAGTA